AGTCCATGTTAGATGGGATTTGCTTGATTGAAGATCTCGCTTGAACTCCTCAACTTGGTTGAAGTCAGTACCCGAAGCTCTGGCAGAAGTGTTAGTTGAAATGGAGCAAGTTGGATCCAGTGCAGGCGAGGAGGTTTGGCCCATTTTCTTTCCAGGGTGTCCAGAGATTTCTGTCAGGCAGGTCTTCATTGGCTTCATTGGGACTCAAACATAAACAGTTAGCAGAAATGTTTGCTTGCGATGTACACATACTTGGAAAGGCAACCATCGGAGAATAACGATTATGAGAGGGTGTACACCTTGAAAGAAAGATCCAAGAAAAGACAAAGACAGTCCCCAGATTCTTTTATTCTGTATTACATCAATTGGCTTCTTGATACAATACAGAAACTCTAAAGTTTAGTTAAATAATGTGCTTGGATTTTAGAGGAGGAAAGCCAAATCCACCTCTAAATACAGCAATGGTTTAATTGAATAGGGACTAGGAAATAAAGAGAAATAGAGTTCTCTGAGAGACAGCTGTAAAGTTTACCATATGGCACGTTCCTTTTCTTTGATGGTTATAGGTACCTTTTCTTCTTAAGCATCTAACCATGCAGTGTCCTTTGCCTTCTGGAGATGAGTTTTCCTGTGATAATGAAAGCAAAACACTTCCCTTTCCTTTGGGAGGTTTCTATTTAGTTTATGAGATTTGCTCTCATAGAATATGTTTATAAGATATACCTTAGTAGAATACCTGTCATTTGTCCTCATCCAAAGTTTTTCTTCTCCTGTGGAGACCAATGCAAAACCCCTACCCCAAATTAATACATGTCCAGGCTTCCATACTGAGGTCAGTACATCTTTGAAATATACTTGTTGATTCAGTTCAGCAGTTTTTTCCATAGTCCAGTGTCTTTCTGCAGCTGTTTGTCCTTTCTCATTGGCATTAAGAAAGTTCAGTGTTAATAAAGCCTTATGCAACCTATGTTTGGGGGCTTTAGTCTTCCAAGCTTGTTTGTTGAGCATCTCCTTAAGTGTTCTATTAGATTGCTCAATCACTGCTTGTCCTGTAGGATTGTGTGGTATACCGGTAACATGCTTTGTGTTATAATATTTGAAAAATTGTTCTAATTTTGTGGAGACATATGCTGGAGCATTGTCAGTTTTTATTTGTGCAGGTATACCCATAACTGCCATCACCTCTAGCAGGTGTGTAATAACAGAATCAGCTTTATCGGAGTTAAGAGCAGTAGCCCATTGGAACCCTGAGAATGTGTCTATAGTATGATGCACATATTTCAAATTTCCAAACTCTGCAAAGTGAAAGACATCCATCTGCCAAATCTCATTTCTCCGAATGCCCTTAGGATTACAACCTGCTGGCAATGAAGTTTGATTATAAAAGGAGTAAGTAGGACAGTTTCTCACTATCTCCTTGGCTTGTTGCCAAGTGATGGAGAAGTCTTTTTTCAAACCTTTGCTATTTATATGATGTTTCTTATGAAATTCTGAGGTTTCTAGCATACTTCCAATTAATAAACAATCAATCTTGTCATTGCCTTGTGCTAGTGGGCCTGGCAGACCCGTATGGGATCTGGTACATGTAATATATATAGGATTACTTCTGTTTCTGATTGTTTCCTGTAATTGTAAAAACAGAGAAGTTAATTCTGTATTATCAGGAACGAATTCTGCAGTCTCAATGTGTAACACAACTCTCT